AGATGAGGGTATTTGTATGTTCAAGTACAGCCTCCAGAACACTCAAAACATGATGTAAAGGATTTGGGAAATGGAGGAAATAGTCTATGGTGAAATACTAGTGAAAGCCCAGGGAGACAAAGAAGTTTCTTGAACTGGTTTCCTGGAAGATTTAGAACCTTTGTAAATAGATTACAGGTTGAGGGCAGAACTTTTAGTAAGAAAGAAGTCAAGATATTTTGATGATGATTTAAAAGCATTAGTGAATAAATGAGTATATAAGCTGGAAATTAGAACTCTTTAAGAAACATTTGACATGTCAGACAAGGTATTTAAAAATATGCTTGGCATATTTTTTGATAGTGGACAAATGAGTAAAAGTGATGAAAGACAGTTTTCCTCCCCTCTGGGTAGTACCAATTTTGAGAAGCTGTGAAATATAATACCAGGGGCAGCAACTTCGGTAAATCTCTGTATTTGTACTTAATAATGTCTTAGTTTTATAGTGGAACATTTTTTTTTCCAGATCATGAGTAATGGGCATGAATTGATTATGAAACTATTCATTTTTCTGATTTGTCCATGTGTGAGGTGTCCATGTGTGACATGTTCCTGCTCATAGCTAGGAGGTTGGAACCTTATTTAATGTCCCTACCAACCTTAACTGTTCTATGATTCTATGATTTTCAATATTTAAACCTAAAGGTTAAAAGACTAAAGCTTTTCAGTGTTCCAGTGAAGAAAAACTACATGATTAATTTATATGCTCCATTGGTCAAGTCTGAAGAATACTTAAGTAAATCAAACTTTATTCTAGAAATTATAATTAATGCATCTATACATTATGTCAAAGCAGGGATTAAAGGAGTTAATCAAGTCATGAAGAGTAAACTGCTGTGTCTATGAATTTATATGTTCTGAGTGCTTTTTAAATTTCAGTGTATTTATAAAATTTAGACCTAAATCGTTGACAGTATTTTAGTACAAAATGTTGCTGTTTAGAACTTTTGTCACATCTTTCAGATTCTGTACTTTTAAATTAGTAGGATTTTCAACAATTTGAAAACTGAACACTGGGAATCCTGAACTAGCTTGTTTCACAAATGTTATATTTATATTCAGAAGTCTTGTTGCTTTTTTGGCAAGCAAATTCTAATGAAAAAAGGATGGATCAAAACAGCTCTTTTGAGATTTCTGGATAATGAGTCATGCAGTGCTTTGATATATTTATATATAAAGTAATTGTGAAAGTTGTATTCATAATTCAGGAGATGAAAGCTGGTCACTGTTTGCTTTTTAGAAAGAAAAATTGCATCTAGAACAGGTATTTCCTTTTCCAGTTCCATAATATCAGAAATCAGGGCTATTGTGAGAGTCAGAAAACAGGATTTCATAACAACTTTACTCTGCCATTGCTCTGCCATGTGACCCTTAAAAATTAATTTATCTCATACTTCCGTTTTCACATCTATAAAAACAATCCTGATGTGCTCCTCACATGAATGTTTTGAGATTCGTGAAAAAATACTCTATACTGATGCTGTATAGTTGCAGGTAGGTATCAGTCTGCTTCTTTAAAAAAATGTTTCTGTTAGATTTTCTGCCTGTTCACTTTGTTTTCTTATTAATTTCCTTGTTTTACTTCATTGTTATTTTGGCTTCCTTCTTCCCAGTAGCACCAGGAACAAAAATGATCAATGGTCAGTTCTTCATCCACATGATAAAACAGAAAGATATGTATTTTTTCACACAGTGCAATCTTCTATTTTTTTTTCTTCTTCATATGTTGTTACAGATCAGGGAATACAACGGCCAGATGCAGGGAGTTACCAGTGCAGGATTTGCATCCTTGACATTTGATGGAACTGTAGGAGCACCAGTAGTTCCTCGAACCTCTAGCAAAGTCTTCACTTTCATGGATGAAGAACAAAAAATAATAGAAGAATTACGTGTTTGGGCAGCCAGTAATCTTTCGATCTGTGGACCAGCAGCAAAATTGTCTGGTGTTCAGCCAATGCTGTTCTTTGATCTCACTTGCCAGCTGATAGGAAAAGCAAAAGTGGATGGATCTTCTTTTCTTCTAAAGGTAGATTTATTTTTTTAAATAATTTGTTAGATTTATTTATGAAAACATTGTGATTAAATTTTTTATAAAATATATTCCTTGATTTGAATAATGTTATGTAGATAAATATTTCCATATTAAGCAAATGTAAGATCCTTGACCATTTTATTTATGTGGAAACAAAGCAGAAATCCCAGTTCTCTTTGAAGATGTTAATCTGATTTATTTCAAAGCATTTGTATGGATTGTCATTTCACAAACTTTTATAGATAAATATTGCAAAATTTCATAAAACTAAAAAATCCTAGTTTTACATGTTAATGGGTTTTCACCTAAAATTTGTAATGGTTTTAGTTAGCAGCAATTATTGCTAATTTTTCTAGATCTGCTGGATATAATCAATGCATCAGTAGCACTATCTAGAAAATGAATGGATTCTGTTATCAATCTTGGTGGATTTTAAGTATCTTCTTTTAGCTATATGTAAGCAGTTCAGGCATGAGTGATCACTGAAAGTAAAAAAAGCAAAGTGCTACAGGAGGTTGCTTTCCAAGGCTGATCCTTAACATCAGCTAAATAAAAAGGACGTCTGTGTAAATTTCCTGGTTTTAGCTCCAGATGTGCCATTCTGGTGTTGTTCTGAAATTCCTCTGTATTTCTTTTTCTTTCTTTTGTAAGTTGAATGTTAGAACATGAGTGATGAACAGCATGTTACTTTCCATGTTGCAACAGCATTAAATTATTATTATTACTGTATTAAGCTGTATTGTTATATTTTTAGAAACAGCACACTGCATTATTCCTTCATTAAGGCAGCAAGGATTTTTCTCATGCAGAACAATGCATGGACTACACAGAAACAAATCTGAAGTGTCATCCTACAATATATTTTGCAGCTGTTAGAAATATTTCCATTTAATTATCCCTTGTGAAATAGACGTCAAATGAGATCAAATAAAATTTCAGAATTTTGTGGACTCCAGTTAAGTTGTTCAATAATAAGCTCAGCATTGAAGGACCATCTGCAAGGTCAGAGACAACTGCTTTCTTAAATGATTTATGTTTCTTTACATTCTTTTCTGTATTATAAGATCTGAAGTCAATTTTGTAAATTTTGTATAGTAAAGATAATTACTTGGGGCAGGGAACTTAGTATAGATATAGGAAGATAGAAGTTTGAAATCAAATAATAGTAGATCAATTTATCTGATACGTAATTCTTTTGACAGTCTGTTTAATAGTATAAAATATTGAATATTTAAATCCATTTTAAAATACATCAGACAAGCTAAAAATGCTACATTAACATTGATGTGCTGTTTCTAATTTCTGCCATTTTTCAAGCAGGGCAAAATCCCTTTCTCATATAAAATGTTGGTTGTGATAGAAGAGAAGCCTTTTTAAAAATCTGTAGACAGGTCTCTGATTATTTTGTCAATACACAAAACAAAACCACCACATTCAATACCAGTTCAAGTGGTATGATAATTAAATATTATTATTATTCTATTATTTTGGTTATGGGTTTTATAGAAATGATTATGATGCCATTCCAAGTGTATTATATTAATGGTTGATTATAGTATAAAATCTGATTGTTATTTTAAGCAGTGAGCTCACTAGACTAGGGGGGATTGTTTCAAAGAAAACTAAAATTAATTTAAATTATTTTTTTCGTCACCCATAGCATAACTTTTAATATTACACTTGATAAATTAATTGGGATATGCACAGCACTTGAGGCTGACATAGCATACAGATGGTATCACTTCAGTGCTTACCTGTTTTCTGAGAATTTTATTATTCAAACTGATGGACACTAAAAAATTCACACTAGAAATTATTATGCCATTTATGCCTTTCAGAAGAGTTTTACTATTACTCTTTTCTTCAGTCAGTTAAATTGTCTCTGTTAAGCTATGTCATACAATTAGCATGCTCTGCTGAAGAGAGAAACAGGTTTCATTGTCTCTGTCCCATTTCAGTGTTTTATCGACCATGGTGATCAAAGGTTGTCACTAGCTATTCCTTAGCTCCAATCTGTTCACAACTAGTAATGGGACCATTTGCTGTTTCTTACCCAGAATTAATTTAATCCGTGTTGGTTTTTAGACCAGTGTTACTTTTTGGAACCAGAGCTTCTGTGTTTTATCTGTACTTTGAGTTAAGTGAAACTGGCAAGCTCCTGAGGTAAAGAGCTTGACCTATTTCCATATTTGTGAAGGTAAAAACCAAAACCAACTAATTTTCCAAGGATTTTTTTTTCTTGTAAAGAAAGCTTACTGGCTCTCAGTTTGTTGCCCTGACACTAGCCCCATTAGTTCCTCTGACAAAGGACATTTTAAAGCTAAGTAGTCATCCTTGCATGTGACAGGGAACATTCAGTTTATTGCAATCCATTTGTCAGATCCCTCTCTTAAGACTACAACTACAAAAATGTCCCAGGTAAAGCCAGTTGAAAAATAATGGGAAATATGACAAACTTAAGATTCATTATTTTGTCAAAGTGACTACATTTCTAATATATATGCACTAAATCTGTGTTTCTCAAGCTCAGTTCTGGAGAAGGTTTGATAACTCAGTGAGCAGCCTCTCTGTCAAAGGTGCTTTTCAGTATTTCATGGTACACAATCAGAAAATAATGGGCTTTTTCCTTTTTTTTGTAATTTTGCAAAATATGACACCTCATTACCTAGACCCTTCTTAATACACTCTTATTTGGAAACATGATTTTATGTTATGGGTCATTTCCACTGTGAACAGTTATGCCTTTTATCTCTTAATTTGAGATGAGTGTTTCAACCATGAGTTATTCTCAGAGTATTTACACATGGTTTTCCTGATTCTGAGATCTTTTTCTGTGGATCCTTTGATCCACAGCAATTAAGCATAAAGGGCAGAAGCTCCATAAAAATTAAGCTTTGGTGTCTTTTTTTTCTCCCCCTCTGTAGTGCCTAACTCAGACAAAATGCCTTGGTATCACAAATTGTCTGAAAATCAGCTTCTGTTCAACATATATGCACAGAATGAAATCCTATGAAATGCAGCATCTCAGTCTTACAGTCCAAATGCCTCTAGATTATTTTTTTTTCTGTTCCAGTGCTTCAGAACATTATTTCTGTTGTCTTTCAGAAGAGTGTATCTTCAGGGACTCAGTAGTTTACAGAAAATACGCAAGCAGCTATTACTGAAATTTTAATGTTTTATTTAAGTACGAAAATTTTCGTTCCAAAGTACTAAGTCTGTTGGTAATCTTTTTCACAATAGCTTTGATAGCTCAAAAATAATTCTGTAGATATTTCTATACTTAAGTGTATAAAGGAGTTTCCTTTAAGCTAATTTAGCTCCCTCTTGCACCTTGTGAGGTATAATTCCTGGCATCAGTATAAGGTAAGGGTTGATCTACTGAAAGCAGCTCTGGGGAGAAGAATCTGGGGGTCCTAGTGGTCAACAAGTTATCCATGGGTCAGCAATGTGCCCTTGTGACCGAGAAGGCCAATGGCATCTTGGGGTTCATTAAGAAGAGCGTGGCCAGCAGGTCCAGGGAGATTCTTCTCCCCCTCTACTCTGCCCTAATGAGGTCACATCTGAAGTGCTTGTGTCCAGGTCTGGGTCCCCTAGTTCAATAAAGACAAAGAATTACTACAGAGAGTACAGTGAAGGACTACAAAGATGATTAGGGGACTGGGATGCCTTTCTCAGGAGGAAAGGCTGAGAGACTTGGGTCCATTTAGCTTGGAAAAGAGAAGACTGTGAGGGGATCTTATTAATGTTTATAAATATCTAGAGGGCAGGTGTTAGGAAGGTAGAGAGACACTTCTTAATGGTGCCTAGTGACATGACAAAGAGCAACAGGCAAAAACTGGAACACAGTAAGTTCCATCTAAACATGAGGAAAAACTTCTTTACTGTTAACGGTGGCAGAGCAGTGGAACAGGCTGCCCAGAGAAGCTGTGGAGACTTTATCCACAGACATTCAAAACCCACCTGGACATAATTCTGTACCACCTGCTGTAGGTGGATCTGCTTTAGCAAAGGGGTGGACTAGATGGTCTCTAGAGGTCCCTTCCAACCTATACCATTTTGTGATCTCGTGAAACAACTTTTAGAGTCTCTATTAGTAAGTCTATGTTAAATATTGGTGTTTTTCTAATGTGTTCTGAATAACTTGCAAAGTATACTGATGTAGGAGAAGTATATGCTGTATATGCAGTCTTCACATATATTTTATCTGGAGTGTTTAAAAAAATACATAGCAAGATTAAAAAATAAAATGTAGACAGTTCTGCCTATAGTGAATTCTAATAGTTGTAAATGCTGGCTAAACAGTTAAGGATTTGCCAGCACGGATTATTTTTTTTAAATTAAATATTAATAATTCCTAGATTTTCATACTTGGTTGTATTCTCTACAGAGGCTGCTTTACGCTCTGTAAGGAGTTAATACTTTTTTAAAATCCCATAAAATCTAATTAAATCAAATTAAGGTCTTTAAGACCAAGATTCAAATTAAGATTTCTTATTGTCACCAATTTTTAAACAAAGAAGAAATTTATTAAGGAGTAAGTTATTTAAAATCTCAATTTAAAGTATTCTGAGCATATTGAGACAGTTCATTTGCATTACAGGTATGGGATGGCACGAAATGTCCCTACCCAACATGGAAGGTACCAGTGGAAGCAAGAGACCTGGAAGGCGAAAAACTTCTTCTTCATCAGCTGCGAAATCTAGCAGTGGACATTCTAGTCTATGATAACCATGTACAACTAGCAAAATCACTTAAGGTAATGCACAGTTTGGTGTTTCTAATTCTTGTTTGATCACCTATTTCTGCTTAGAACTCACTTCAGAGAACTTATCAATTCAATTCTGCTGTTAATTAGTTTAAAGTGTTCTCTTCTGCTGTATTTTCCATACCTTTTATTTGAATGCAAAACTCCTTCAACATGTTGTGGCATTCAGGATGTACAGTGATTGTCTTAAACAATCCAAGAGATAAGCTTGGACTTTGGCACTCAGGTTATCTGTTGTCTGTCTTGTGGCATCTGAGAGTTGAACGACATCTGCTGATGGACTAAAGAGATGTCTCAGCAACCCACCCATCCTCCTCCTGCAAGGAGTACCTGAGAACTGGGGAGTTTAGTGTGGGACATGCTGAAACCGGAGACAAAGGAGTTCTACAGCTGGCGCTGGGAGCAGAATATCCAGTGATAACCAGGCCTTGATATGGAAACCACCGACTTAGCAGGACAAGACAAGGAGTATCAGTCTCAAGCTACTTCCTAGGACAGAAACTCCACTGCAAGGAACTAATCCTGTGGTGGCAATTGACTCAACCTCCTCTTTTGTAATGACTGATCTCATCAATTAGCTAAACAAAGACTACATAGCCCCTGGCATCATACCTGCCCCTGCTATCACAGAGAAGATCCGAAGGGTTTTTCCCTATGCAGGGAGAGAAGTGGGGGTGCAGTGGGCAAGGACTGTATAAAAATGCGGGACTCTATGGGTCCATCGGAGCACTTCTCCACCTGGAACTACTTCCCCACCGACGATATCGACGACATCGCTGGACCCTGGGTGGTAACTATGCTCTCACTTTCTGTCCTCTTATCTCTCTGCTTTCTCCTCTCTTTCCTGTCTCTGTTTTCCTGCCTGTCCTATCCGCTCTAGGGACTTTTGTTGTGTTATTGCAATAAAAGTTTGTTGTGTACGTGACGTCTGACCTCGTTTGTGTCTTAATTTCACCATTTGGGATCACCTTTATTTATTAAAATTGCCACGTATCCAAATACTGGATCATGACACGTGTAAAACAGCTGCATTACCCTAAAATTGACGTGAAAAAAATCTTCCAGTTAAGCAGTTCTTTCCAGGCACTGTAATATCATGCCTAATTCTGTGAAAACAATGCACTCAAAAAACGTATTCTGTGCTTTAGGATTATTTTTTAGTTATACAAAGGGGTTAAACTTGTAGTCCCATTAAAGGCCTGTGATTCTAAAGTCAATAAAAGATTTTCTGTTCTATAAACTGCAGTTTGCAATGCAGTCTTCATTTAGTGGGTCAGTAATGTTGATTATGCTTAGAGAGAACAGCAACATAATTAAACATTTCATCTTCAGCAATACTGCCATCTTGCTTCTGAATACAGTACATTAGCAAAGATTACATTTTTAATGTTATGCCTTGACCTTTATACCTAAGCATTGTTTTTAAGAAAGTGTTTACTAGAAAATAAAGCGATAGCCATTTGTTTGGCTGGGCTATCAGCAGACAGGAAAACAATTAGATACATTAATGGCCGTTGATAAGTAAATATCAGATTGCAGCATAATTTGCCTTTGTGTAAGAATTTGTAACAAAATTTATTCACAGGAGTATTTAATTACTTAGAGGTTCTCTTCCATAATTTTTCTCTTGCTAACTGTTGTAATCTATTGGTATAAGTAACTGCTAATGTTCCAGTGAAGCAATATATTTGAAAAATTAAGGGAAAAATTAATAAAACATTTTCTTGGGTAGTCAATGATACTCCATTTATTACTTTTTCCTATTCGTATTCAGAAATTCCTTTTGAATATGTGGTACATGGGATGTATCCCCATGTACCGTTAGCTGTCCAATTTTTTTTCCTTTCTTTTCTATCTCTAAAGCATCTGTGCCCTTGCTGGATACTGCATTGTGTAGCAGAAGTTCTGTTGTCAAAGGAAACTTAAGAAAACTGGTTTGAGCAAAAAAGGCTATTTTTTCTCCTTCTGGCTATATCCAATGTTGCAGTAGCTTCACTCATGCAAGCTGTAGAAGTTTTAAGTTCGATCACTTTTGAACACCATTTCCAGTGGATTGTGTTGGAAGTGTTCTTGAAAAAGTGCTGTCATCCTAACAATTAACTTCAGGAAGATTAATTAAATTCAGGTTTCAGTATGTGCAAATAATTTTATTTCATAGAATAATCTAAAGATAATAAAATTTTGTGGGACTCTTCCTAAAATGGAAGATTTAATAAAAAGTTTGGTTTTAAATACTAGTGGAAATCATGTTGTCTCATAAGGAAGTATAATTGAAATACTCTGTATTAATCTGTATATCTTGCTTAGTTCAGGGTCTTGTTATGTAAAGATTTAAAAAAAAACAAACACATTTATGTAGAAATATAAAAGTGGAGAGTGTTTAGTGTTTGCATGTGCACCTTCCTGTGTGTAAACAGGAGAACAACGTGGACTTCCCTGTGATTTTCCTGTCCTTGTCATCTCTCCATCTCTTTCTCTCCCCCCCCCTCACCTTTTTCTTCTCATCCCCTTTTCTTAATATGTATATGCGGGTGGTTTTGCTTAGGTTGTTCAGTATTAACTCCTACTAGTGTGAATAAATGTGTTGTTTGTTATAAGCAGACCTTGTGTGTTGCTGCACCTGAAGCTGATCAAGGGGTATTGGACGGTCGAGCTGTGACTCGGACCGTCATACATTAACTCTCTCTGGGAAAAAGACCAGGTCTGAGAGAAGGATTTTGAGCCCAGCCGCACCTAGGCTCCTCTCTGAAGGAAGCTTAGAAAGCAAGGGGGTTCAGTCCTAATCTCCCTGGGCTGCCCAGTCTGAGTTGTGACACATGCAGGACTGGATCCAGCTACACCCGGGCTCCTCTATTGCAGCAGCAGCATCTTAGAAAGCAAGGGGGTCCAGTTCTAACCTTCCTGGGTTATTAAATCCAGGCCGTGTCAATAACCTGCTATGGAATTGTTAAGATTACAGTCTCCCATGTTGATGTGATTCTAAAGTCAATAAAAGATTTTCTGTTCTATAAACTGCAGTTTGCAATGCAGTCTTCATTTAGTGGGTCAGTAATGTTGATTATGCTTAGAGAGAACAGCAACATAATTAAACATTTCATCTTCAGCAATACTGCCATCTTGCTTCTGAATACAGTACATTAGCAAAGATTACATTTTTAATGTTATGCCTTGACCTTTATACCTAAGCATTGTTTTTAAGAAAGTGTTTACTAGAAAATAAAGCGATAGCCATTTGTTTGGCTGGGCTATCAGCAGACAGGAAAACAATTAGATACATTAATGGCCGTTGATAAGTAAATATCAGATTGCAGCATAATTTGCCTTTGTGTAAGAATTTGTAACAAAATTTATTCACAGGAGTATTTAATTACTTAGAGGTTCTCTTCCATAATTTTTCTCTTGCTAACTGTTGTAATCTATTGGTATAAGTAACTGCTAATGTTCCAGTGAAGCAATATATTTGAAAAATTAAGGGAAAAATTAATAAAACATTTTCTTGGGTAGTCAATGATACTCCATTTATTACTTTTTCCTATTCGTATTCAGAAATTCCTTTTGAATATGTGGTACATGGGATGTATCCCCATGTACCGTTAGCTGTCCAATTTTTTTTCCTTTCTTTTCTATCTCTAAAGCATCTGTGCCCTTGCTGGATACTGCATTGTGTAGCAGAAGTTCTGTTGTCAAAGGAAACTTAAGAAAACTGGTTTGAGCAAAAAAGGCTATTTTTTCTCCTTCTGGCTATATCCAATGTTGCAGTAGCTTCACTCATGCAAGCTGTAGAAGTTTTAAGTTCGATCACTTTTGAACACCATTTCCAGTGGATTGTGTTGGAAGTGTTCTTGAAAAAGTGCTGTCATCCTAACAATTAACTTCAGGAAGATTAATTAAATTCAGGTTTCAGTATGTGCAAATAATTTTATTTCATAGAATAATCTAAAGATAATAAAATTTTGTGGGACTCTTCCTAAAATGGAAGATTTAATAAAAAGTTTGGTTTTAAATACTAGTGGAAATCATGTTGTCTCATAAGGAAGTATAATTGAAATACTCTGTATTAATCTGTATATCTTGCTTAGTTCAGGGTCTTGTTATGTAAAGATTTAAAAAAAAACAAACACATTTATGTAGAAATATAAAAGTGGAGAGTGTTTAGTGTTTGCATGTGCACCTTCCTGTGTGTAAACAGGAGAACAACGTGGACTTCCCTGTGATTTTCCTGTCCTTGTCATCTCTCCATCTCTTTCTCTCCCCCCCCCTCACCTTTTTCTTCTCATCCCCTTTTCTTAATATGTATATGCGGGTGGTTTTGCTTAGGTTGTTCAGTATTAACTCCTACTAGTGTGAATAAATGTGTTGTTTGTTATAAGCAGACCTTGTGTGTTGCTGCACCTGAAGCTGATCAAGGGGTATTGGACGGTCGAGCTGTGACTCGGACCGTCATACATTAACTCTCTCTGGGAAAAAGACCAGGTCTGAGAGAAGGATTTTGAGCCCAGCCGCACCTAGGCTCCTCTCTGAAGGAAGCTTAGAAAGCAAGGGGGTTCAGTCCTAATCTCCCTGGGCTGCCCAGTCTGAGTTGTGACACATGCAGGACTGGATCCAGCTACACCCGGGCTCCTCTATTGCAGCAGCAGCATCTTAGAAAGCAAGGGGGTCCAGTTCTAACCTTCCTGGGTTATTAAATCCAGGCCGTGTCAATAACCTGCTATGGAATTGTTAAGATTACAGTCTCCCATGTTGATGTGTACCATTTGGAAGGACAGCTGCAGCTCTGAAGTGATGTTTTATGTAGGAACTATGTGTTTAACATAGCCTTTTTACCAAGGACAGATTGAAAAAAATACTCAACCATTCGTTCTTATTTTAAAATTACTGCAAGAGTTTGTTAGAAGCTCCTTGTTTGGATTGTTTGCCCAGAGAACACTGAAGATAGGAGCATTTTATCTCATTTTCTGACACAGTCAAATAAGTTTTACAATTTTCAATGGAGAGAAGAACTTCAGTAATATTGAAGGTGTGCTAGAGTTGATACCTAAAGTAGTCTTTTTGTCCCCTGTATTTACTGGCATCCCTTTCCTTCTAGGTGAGATTGTGACTTTTCAGCATTTACTGCCTTAGCAGAACACAGAATTTTCAGACATCTTGTCTCTGAAGCAGATTATTTCCTGGGGCATGAAGGCACAAACAAGAGCCACAAATAAGCAAAGACAATGTTATTCACTGTTTTTTTCCAGATTTCTGGCTTCTTCTGGCTATATGGGGTGCACAAGCTGTGCTTTCCTCTTATAGCTTGAATGCACCAGTGTCTCAGATGTGAACACAACCCTATATGTTTTGAAATAATAGTGAGAACTTGCTATGCTAAAAAGTTGGTTTTAGTTGGCTAGTTACAGGGAACTGTGTATGTGACTTCTTAATTTTAATTCTTTTTAGCCTTAATATATGTTTTTAAAATAGTCATATTTGAATTAGACTGGAAATAAGGTGTTAGTATGTTTTATATTACTGCAAGAAATGTGGTCTTACTGCTTTAATTTTAAATAAAATTGCTCTAGGTGAGGCAGGTAGTTTATCAACAACTCCTGTAGTCAAGTAAGGAGTTGGCTTTGTACTAGATTTTAGTGATGGGTCTGTAAATCATGATGTTTAATTTAACGTAGATTATAATTTCTGCTCGGCCAATGATATTAAGCGTGCTCAGTCTGCAGGCATTCTGTAACAGAAATACAGTCACGTTTATTAGCCACAACACCCGTATTTGCTGGTCGCTGTTAACAGTGAGCAATGCTGCCTCCCAAAGGAATTCAGGGAAATTGCGCTCAGCCTTGCACAATCAGATCTGACGGTCTGTGTTGACACTCATCACCTTCCGGACGTCTCCAGTATTTGACAATGCTGATTATAATCTCTTTAATATAGTTCTAAGTTATATTAAGATATGTAAAATAACATTTTCAGAAAAGCTATCTAATAAAATCCATGCGTAGAAACATTTTTATAGTGATCGTAAAACTTTGAATGTTGCACTAAAACATAATTCAGTTGACTTTTACATGAGTTTCAGCACCTGAGTTTAGAAGACAAAACCAGAATTTTGTGTGCTTGGCTCCTGGGATTTCCTTTCCCATGTTCAATGTGTTATGTTTGTACAAATAGTAAATACTTAGTTTTTTTCAGACATTGTTTTAAAATAGATTATTCAATTGTTATTGACTTTTTTTATGCTTATATACAAATTACTTTTGGGGAAAAAAAAAAAAAGTGGTTTGACACTGTGATATTGACATGAGGTTATTTGATAAGCAGAATTTAGCTATTTAAAGAAGCTTTCTCGGAAAGCATTTGTCATAGTCATTAGATTAGTTTTAGAATATAACTGTTGCTTGCATTTTTGAATATTCAGCATAATTCAGTGAAATGTAGCACCTGGAGAGAGAAAAAAAAATAAATTTTAAGCCTCCAGATAAGCCTCTTAACTGCCATCTAAACACACAAGCTGTCCTGTTGATATGCTTTGAATTAACAAAAGGAGCAGCCCTCTAAGATCAATTAGAACTCTGGTAAGAGCTCCATGCCAGAAGCAAAATAGGTGCAGGCTGAAGTGTTCTTTTCATGTCTCTGGTGACTTCATGTGTGATTATTCTTTAAAAGGGAAGTTTGATATTGGCATTATGTAGTCATAGTCTATTCCTTGATTCAGAGAAGATTTCCACCTTGATACAGGAAAAATCCTACTCTGTCTGCTTTTATGCATACATACATTTATAGATGATTTACCTGGACAATCCAGTCTAATAGGAACACTTTTTAGGTTTCTGCTGGTTAAAGCAGGAGCCGAAGTAAGACTGAACAGACTGTCTGTTATAATATTAATGTTAATTGAAATAAATTTAAAATAATGTATCATTTATGTAGGGTTATTTAAAGGATATTTAAAGATCTTTAAAGTGAACATAAATCCAGGTTATTGAATGTGTGTAGCTTGCCAACTGTCAGCTGGATCTTAGGTTGCCCTTTAAAAAATATTGGGGGGCTAGTTACTTTGATTCAAAGGTCTTCAAAACACATCAGAGGGAAATTAACTGTATAATTAAGTCTAACTGTATAATTAATTTCTAACACATGTTGCCTTTTGTCCTGATGCTGAAAAAAATATTATCTGTAATGCAACAGTAAGATACGATAAAGACATCTGGGTAAGAAGATTTGTTTCTGTGTGAACATAAACAGATGATATGTCATACGTGATGATGGACATGAGGTCAACTGCCGAGTGTGATCATACATAGACAAATGACAGCATGTCAGTCTCTGGGGGGCTGTGTTGTGAATATAGAAGACAAATTGTGCCCTCAGGAAAGGAATATATTGGCTCATTTGATCTTCTGAAGTCTATTTGAGAATCAGATGAGAGTAAGAAGGCTTATGCTGGTTCTGAATCAGCCTTTGCTGCTAGTGATATTGTCTGATAAAGCAAAACAAACAGGTCACCCAGAGAGGTTTTGGGGTCCCAGTCTTTGAAAATATTCAAAACCCTGCTGGAGACAGCCCTAAGAAACCTGCTCTTAACTCTGAATAACTAAAGCAGAGTTGACTTTGCTTTATGCAGGGGGTTGGACCAGACAATCTCCAGAGGTCCCTGGCTACTTCAGCTATTCTGTGACTCAGTGAAAAAAGGGAAGGAGGATTTTGAGGCCTTGAATTTTTCCAAGTGAATAGCTAACTTTGTGTTATCAATTCATGTTTTTTTTCTTCAAGATTGGAAGTTTTCTGAGAATTTACAGTATTCATACAAAACAAGTAAGTGCTGACAAAGACGGCTCACGTATAGAATTTCATCTTCATGGTGGCACCTGTTACGGTCGAGGAATAGGAGTCTTACCAGAAAGTAACCCGGATGTTAAGGAACTGAAAGAGTAAGTTTTATATGTGTAGGTTTTTTCTAGATCATTCTGGGAACCTCTAGGCTAGAGTAAAAACTGTACAGTTTAGAATTGTAAGCCATATTTAAGAACCAGAAGCTCCAAAATAGAATACCTCTTCAGCAGCCAGGGATGAAGCATTTGGGAGCACAGGTAAATATAGACTAATTTTTCACATGTAAAGTGCAGTAAGGGTTCAGATTTCTATTTTATAGTGCTATAATAAGGCCTGGCCACATTAACTTACTTGTTCTGTTTTATAGTGGCATATCAACTTTTATCTTTAAAAGCAATGGTTAAGCATGTGCATGTGTGTTTCTTGGAAATAGAGGGACTTGAAAGATGTAAAAAATGAAGCATACAGTATAAATGCTCTACTGAATTGCATTGTATATGTAAGGAATCATAGAGTCATTTCGTTTGGGAAGAACCCTAAAGATTATTGAGTCTAATCATAAACCTAGCACTGCCAAGTCCTCCACTAAACCATGTTCCTAAGCACTACATCATCTACACATATTTTAAATGCCTCGAGGGATGGTGACTCAACCACTTCCTTGGGCAGCCCATTCCAGTGCCTAATAAACTTCTTGGTGAAGAAATTTTTTCTTAATATCCAATATAAATCTCTCCTATTGCATCTTGAGGCCATTTTGTCTCATCCTGACTTGTGACTTAGGAGACCAACAACCACCTCCTTTTGGGTAGCTGTGGAGAGCAATAATTCTCCAGTCAACTGATACCTTCCTGGATAGCCAGGACTGGTGGCAGATGATGGAAACCAGCTTGGAGAGCACTTCCACCAGCTCCCTCAGTACCCTTGGGTGGATCCTGTCTGGCCCCATAGACTTATGTATGCCTTAAGTGGTGCAGCAGATCACTAAGCATTTCCCCTTGGATTATGAGAGCATTCTTCCTGTCTTCCAGCTCGGACATGGGTACCCCCCAGAACCACTGCTCTTACTGTTAAAAAGTGAGGCAACAAAGTCATTAAGTACCTCAGCCTTTTCCTCATCCTTTATTGCTAGGTTTCCTCCTATATCCACTAAAGGATGGAGATTGTCCTTAGCCTTGTATTGCTAATGTATTTGTAGAAACATTTTTTATTGTCTTTTACAGCAGTAGCCAGATTAAGTTCTAGTTAAGCTTTGGCCCTTCCAGTTTTCTCCCTGGATAAGCTCATCCCGTCATTGTAGTCCTCCTGAGTGTCCTGTCCCTTCTTCCAAACACCATAAAATCTCTTTTAAGAAAGGCTAACCAAAATGCACGTTCCATTATCAGGAAATCTGTTTCCAGTAGTATAGATTTTTTTTGGTGCTTTATTTTGTTTAAAGTTGCAAAAGTAATTTGAAAAGGAGTATGTCATCTGCATCATTAATAGACATTCCTGCAACTTCTGGCTCAATTGAGTTTTATGTTGTAACTGGAAAATGTATGTTTAAACATTATATTTGTGTATTGATAAACAGTTGGTTTCATATAAGTGTATGTGTAGTCCCATATATGTCTGTGTGTATGTATATATGGGATTCTCTGGGTTCTAAAATACTTCGTAATTTATTTTTAGATTCTTAGAGTCTGTGGAACTGGCAGACAGTCAGCATATGGAAAGTATGTCTTCAGTGGAATTAGACAGCACTTTTAACAATATTACAGGTAAGAGCACTTGAAAGCTGATTTGCTTTTTGTTTTCATATACATCCAGTCAAGGTCACATTTACTGCTTCTCTGAGTGTATGTTACTTTCACATACAAAGCCCTTGAGAATTCTTTTGGATTATTAGACTGAAAATTGACATTATGCTTTGTGCCCCAGCAGAAACCTTTCATATGCATGGAAAAATACTTTCATAGGAGGTAGTGAAGAAGTTATTAAACACAGATGGTGTCCTTAGTCATACTATATTAGATCATAAGGCAGAATGATGTAACTCATCCTCTCAAGGGAGATTGCTCAGAGACAGACACTGAAGACAGTACTAAACAGGTGCTTGCTGAGGAGTTCTTCTAAAGCTGTTGGTGGAATGGTGTCAGTGACAATGTTGCAAAGTGCAGTGCCATGGAAAAGTAGTATCTTACAAAGAGTTCTCCAGATCCCGTATTATTTTTTTAATAATAGTAAGAAAAATAACTAGGAAGTGAATTAAACTCTAAAGCTTGTTGGACATAGTCTGCATCTTTGCTTCTAACTTTTTTTAATCCTGTATTGCTTAGCTATTATTAACATACTGTGACAGGATATTTTTAAAAAGATGCCAAAGTCAGGAATAAATAAATACTTCCAATTCTAGACCATAAAACTGCAAATGTAGAAAGAATTTTGCACAGATGAACTGCACTGTGTATGTGTAATAGAGATTATTCAGAGGAGAGACCAAGCAGTCCATATTGTTTTTAGAATAATGTATTTTTACTGTTGTCCAGAAAGAATAAAGGGTGATGAATACAGTTTATGTCAGCAGTATCATTCATGGTATGGATTTGAAAGGTGTTTGTTTTGCTAAGCATTCCTATTTAATGTCTACACTAACTTCTCCGCAGAAATATTAACCGTTGGTATCTAATGTCTGTCTCTTGGTTACTTTGCATTTTCCTTTGTTCCGCTTCTTGGTTTTATCTGCCTATTTTACCAATCTACCATGATAAAGAAGAAAATAAGAAAAAAAAATAATTAGGAAATTATTCTTTATTTTAGATCTTGAATTACACTTACAGAGATGTCAGGAGTTATCCGTTACAGGTAGGAAACCTTTTGACCTCAAGGTGAATGTTGTTTTTACTAAAGACAAAAATCTGGTGAGACAACAGCTCAAAGGTTGACATAGTATCTCTTACTTATAATAGGAAGTTTAAGTGTATGAATGTTATATTGGTTTTATTCTGCTTTTAAAGGAATAGAGCATATTTATAGATTGTACTTTCGTTTGGTTTTTTTCTGTGTTTAGTGTTCTGAACCAAACATTGAATTTCATTCTCATACAGGCTGTTGTGATTTCTATTAAAGAGTGTACTAACATGTTGTATTGATAAAGTTGAGGCTGCAACTAAGAAGGGGAGAGAGAAGCTGGGAATTAAGGGAAGATACAAACCTGCAGTAGCCATTTCCCATATTCCAATATTATGGTGTTTAATAGGTATGCATGGCTTTTTTGTTTGGTGTTATTTTGCAGTATTAACAGATCATCAGGATTTGAGTAACACAGAACTGAAAACCATTCTGAACAGCACGGCTCCTCAACAGTTTCGCATTAGAGCAAAGCTGAGAACTTACAAACCCCAGAAGCTCCATCAGTCTATTAAACTTCATTGCTCCAAATGCAACTCTTTGTAAGTGTTTCACACAGTAAAGGGGTTGTTCTATATGGTTTGTGATGCCTAGATTTTCAGTGATCAACGTGATGTAGGGTCTTCTTTTTCTCCTGCATGTTCTACTGTGGCAGAATAAGTTCTCTTGTGTTCTAACATATGCTGAAAAACCTGCCTGAACAAAGTTCAATGCAAGTTTGATCCTTTAAAACTATGCAGTAAGATGCATGTAACACTTGGGGTATAAAATCCTTGTGAGGGATATTTTTTGTAGTTTGTTGTTGTTTTTTTTAATTCAACTGGAACCTTCTCTGTAAGCAAAATATCAATATACATGGTAGTAGTTTTATTCATGTAGTCACATTACAGAAGTTTCAACCCTCATGTAGCTTAGTTCAAAGCAAATTGATTCCATTCCTACCTCTGTGAGAAAGCTACTGGCATGCCGTAGAGACTGGAAGAGTTTAACAGGTATATCTACAAAGATGACTTGTTATGTTAGGATGATTGCTTTTGCATTTAAAATAGTAATCCAGGAACACAGGTGGAAATAGTACATGTCAATAGCACTGTGTTCATGAAAATAAAGTTCAGGTTCAGGAAGACCTCTTGTGTGCCAGATCTACAGTCATAGCAGAATATCAAAGATTGGTTTGATAGGCAGGAGTAGTTATTCACTGGGGGAAGAAGCTGTCCTTGGTTTGAAAGTGAAATTGTCAGAACGATCTGCAGGAGCTGATGGCATTTTTTTCTTTAACTCCATTGTGAAGCTTAGCACCTACTTCGTTTTCTGTTTATGAAATGGCCCAAACTCAAAACTTTTTGCCCTTTTTTTTTCATTGTCATTTTTCCCATGGTTCATATTCCACCTGAATCCAGCAGGTCTGTCTTGCTTAGGAAAAAACATTCTAATACATTTTTAATGTGTGACGTAATACTGGTAAAATTTGAATGGCCTGCATTAATTCTCTGTGGATGACAAATGGAAATGCTCAAGTGGTGCTCTCTAGCAGGACAGTAAAACTGTGTGGTGCAGAATTGCAGATTTTCCCTTTACAGTAGGTATATGAAGCTCTTCTGCTCCTGCCCTTTTTTCTTCCCCCCTCCCCATCAAAATATGCAAATTATAATAGGCTAGAACATAAGACTTGAAATTATATCAGCTTATGTGGTTTTTTCACTCTACTGAAGTGGTATGCAATTGTGTGGCACTTTTAAGGCCCAACTGAAATCATATAAGGCTGGTATATTTGCTTTTCCATGGATATATATGTGGATGAAGCCACTAGACTGCTCCAAGGTAAGATTAGATTACTTAGCATATTTATTAACATGGAAATAAATGATATTGTCGTAAGTTGCTATATTGCTCTAAATCTTTAAACCGATACAACAGCAGTTATTTTTCCTGTATATACTTTAACTCTCTTGACTATATTCTAGTATTTATTCAGTGCACTGTCATCGTTGTTGCTAAATTACCTAAGAAGCTGTTAGAGTTCACTTATTCATTTTGAAAATGGTCTCAGGACAGAAATTCCAGATGGAGATGACTTTGACTGTATTTTACAAGGCTCTGCCATGACCAGTCCAAACCCAGAACTACACAATACCTCCTGGTATGAATCTGTAATGTGGACTACACAAGACCAGAAACAAAGGAAAATAGTAATCCATTTTGTGAAGCCTGATGAAATGCTTAAAGCGCCTGAAGATACTTTGCTTATGATAGAAGGTAAGATAAATTTCAAATACACCTCTGCTTTCAGCCTGGTGTCCACTCTGAGGATCTACAAAGTTAAAACGTATTCAGTGTAATTAGTGATTATCATAAAGGCATCTTCAAAAAAAAAAAAAGAAACTCAACTGAAACTTTTAAGTTACTGTTGTGCAAACACGAAAAAAGTTATCTGTGAAGGTCTTGTAAGGTGCTTTTTTCTATTTTAAAACTATACAATTAAGCTTATTGTTGATTCTCCTAAAATTAACATCTGATTTTTTTTCCTAGCTGTGCTCACTTGATTTTTCAGTTCTGACTTGAAAACCCACTGAGTCATTTAAAAACACCCTATTTTTACTCTTGATGTGCAAAAGTTTTGGAAGGCTTCTGATAATACAAGCGTACAATTAACTTTGCCAGCCTCTGGATGTCAGTGTTGTTTCAGATTAATAGAACTTCTGGCAGTGTGAGGGGTTTTTTGTTTTTTTATTTGGTTTCTTTTTTTATCAGATTATCTCACTAAAGAAAAATAGCCACTGAATTTTAAACAAAGCAATTTGGCAAGAATTCTAATAAGGAATGTTTTGAATAGAGTAGAAGTAATGAATAATTGCATATAGTACTATTCTGAGTTTAAAACAAAGTCTTCAATTGTGATCAAGTAGTGGTGTGAATAAGCAAATGTAAGTCAGGTGATCCTTTGTGTAAGAGTCAGTGACAAAACCCCTTCTGTTTTCAGCTTGATTTTATATTCAATTGGTTTTGATAGCTGCTTTATTTCTGACATATCCCAAACTGCGTGGTTTTGTTTCTTTTCAATCTAATCTTATCTTTGTGAAAACAAAAGGAAAAAAGACTCTGCTTCTACTCTGTTTTCCTAAAATAACTGAACATACCCTGAGAAATCTTTTTTTTTAATGTTAAAGTGCCAGCAGCTGAATATGTGTGCATGTAGTTATATGTACTTCTTGTTGGAGTACAAGAAAAAGGTATGATCAGTGTTTTAGCACTTTTTTCCCCCAGAACTTTGATCATAAACCTTCCCAAAACTACATGCTAATCTGGAAGCTTTTGGAGGTGGAGATTTTGAAGTTTCCTTGGAAATATTCCCAGCACTTTTCCAGATACAGACAACCCTGTAAGACCAGACACATTATGGCATTTATCAGACAGACACGGTCTACTCGTTTGTTAAACACAAACAACTTGCTGTTCTACAAAACAATACTCTATTCTTCCCCATAATGATTATGCTGAAGCAAGGACTTCTTTTTGAGTGTTTGGCATCTATTGGGCTGGAATTGAGGAAATAATTGGATAATGAACAAAATTTTACGTGACCCTCCACAGAGAGTGAGGAGAATCCATAATCATTGCTACAGATTAGCTGAACTGAAGAGTGAAATGTTATGGTTAACAAGTAGATTAGTGCTCCATGCATATCCTCATTATTTGTACATTAAATCACTGTGATTCACTGTCAAGCCCAAGTAATTCTCTTTTTTTATGCCAGTCTCTTAGAAGCCAGAATACATTTGCTCAATGTAACTGTATTACAGTAAGATGGAAATTCTGCAGACCTTTTAGCAGTCACTTGAAACTACCCTGAATTTTGTATGTTATTCCCTTTAATGAGCGTTCAAATGTGCACGAGAGGCTTTATCTGTATCACTGTACTTGGAGGACCTTGTTTAGAATAACCTTTTGGGAAGCCATTTCAAAAACCTGCAACTCAGGATTTTTTTATTTTTCTCAAAAGAAGTGAATTTCTGTGAGGAGGTTTCATGTACATTTTTATTTCTTCTTGAGTTATCTCTGCAATATAAGTAAAAAATATGATAGAATAGAATTGTAGAATAGTTGGAATTGGAAGAGACCTTTAAAAGCAATAAGCAGAGCCATTTTCAACTAGACCAGGTTGGTCAGAGCCCTGTCCAGCCTGACCTTGAATGTTTCCAGGGATAAAGCATTTACAACCTTTCTGGGCAACCTGTTCCAGTGTTTCACCATCCTCATTGTAAGAAATTTCTTCCTTATATCCAGTCTAAATCTACCCTCTTTTAGTTTAAAACCATCATCAGTTGTCCTATTGCTACAGGTCCTCCTAAAAAGTCTGTCCTTGTCTTTGTTACAGGCCTCCTTTAAGTATTGAAATAGTATTTAAGTATTGAAAGTTCCATCTCTGATAAGTTTTGTGATAGTCCTCTTGTCTTTCCTGTGCTGAGGATGCCAGAGCTAGATCCAGTATTCCAGGTGGGATCTCACCAGAGCGGAGTAGGGGGGCAGAACCACCTCCATTGACCTGCTGGCCGTGCTTCTTTTGATGCAGCCCAGGATACGGTTGGCTTTCTGGGCTGCAAGCACACATTGTTGGCTCTTATCTAGCTTTTCATTCACCAAGGCCTCCTCCACAGGGCTGCACTCAATCCCTTTGTCCCCCAGGCTGTATTGATACCAGGGATTGCACCAACACAGGTGCAGGACCTTGCATTTGGCCTTGTTGAACCTTATGAGGTTCACATGGCCCACTTCTTGAGCTTGTCCAGGTCTTTCTGGATGGCATCCCATCACTCAAGTGTGTCAGCTACACCACTGAGCTTTGTGTTGTCTGCAAACTTGCTGAGGGTGCAATTGATCCACCATCTGTGTCATTGATGAAGATACTAAACAGCGCTGGTCCATAAGTAGTGGTAGGGACACTACTTATCACTGATCTTGACATTGAGCCATTGACCACTACACTCTGGATCAACCGTCCAACTAGTTCCTCATCCACAAAACAGTCCAACCATCAAATCTGTATCTCACCAATTTAGAGAGAAGAATGTTGTGGGGGTCAGAGGCCTTGCAGAAATTTGAATAGATGACATGCATAGCTCTTCCCTTATCCGCTGTTGGAGTCAATCCATCATAGAAGGCCAGTAGGTTGGTTAGGCAGGGCTTGCCCTTGGTGAAGCCATGCTTGCTTTCTCAAATCACCTCCAGGTGTTTTCTTCCATGTGGAGGTGTCCCTGTCCTCCATGTGCTTTAGCAAAGCTTCTAGGAGGATCTGTTCCATGATCTTCCCAAGCACAGAGGTGAGGCTGACAGGTCGGTAGTTCCTAGGGTCCTCCTTTCTATCCTTTTTTAAAATGGTGCAATATTACCATTTTTCGAATAATGCAATAAATATTTTACAATCCAGTGTCATAATTAGTTGTCATGAAGTCTTTGAAACATTTGGTTCTAGGTAGTAGTAGCCAATAGGGTTGTAGAATATATTTAGTTTGAAACTGTTTGCTCACTTTTTTCATTGTTGTTCACAAGCTGATTAAATCATAAATATTTCATTGAGCTGTTTCCAAATAGCTGTTCTTCGTGTGTTATATTAATAAATTGACCACATTTCCACTGAATTGGTGAAATGTTAGAAAGATTCTACAATCAGTTCTGCAGTCCTTACTACAGAGACAGAAGGCAGGTTATCCTGTGATTTATAATAAATTTGAAATAACTTCCATATAATTGGAATTGAAAAGTCTACAGGTTCCAGCAATAATACATTAAATTTCTGCTGTGCTCCTGTCATGGACTATATTTAGTAGCACTTAAATTAGCATGAAGTTTGGTGAGTCTGCATTTCCCACCTCATGTCAATTATGACATGGTTGAATAACTACGTTTTCATTAACCACTGGTTAAAAATTAATAGACTTTTGCCACTTATAGGCTGAAGAGTTACTTAAGAACAACTGCAAAAAGTATGGGGTTTGTTTTGTTTTTTTCAATAAAATTGCTAGTAAGATAATAGAAATAATATAAAATAATGCTAACTAAGTACAATTTCTTGGTTACAGTGATAACTAGGAAGGAAATATTAAGGTATCTGCTCTGATAAGTGTCCATCTTTCATTCTTTACTGAGTCTGTTGTTCAGTTGCAGTGAGAAGGTTATTGACCATTTTTCAGTTTTCCATAGTGTGTCTCAGTTTTTGTTGAAGGTCCTGAAATCAGCCACAAAAATGCAAGTTGTTCAATTATTCTTGCATTATGGTTTTTAAAAAAAATGTTTTTCTGTTTTTAATAGGAGGAACACTAAAAGAACTCTGGAGGCTTACGAAAAGATTTAAATGTGTTATTCCAGTGAGATCCACGGAAGATGACCTTGAATTATTAGATCTTTCAGCTCCTTTTCTCTTACAAGGGAACACAAAATATTATGGGTATGTTAAAACTATTTGTTGATATTTCAGTAGTTGCAATAATCAATAGATACAATTTTCTTTAGTAACTGAAGCCACAGTGCTCAAGGGGTAACTCACCCAAAGGTTCCTTGATGCACGATACATGAGATAGTCAGCAGTACTGACATCAGGGATGAAATGGCATACTGCTACCTCATATCAAAGGACTCGACTGCAGTTGGGCTCTATCTTGCTCTATAAATCTTACACTCTTAATTACTCAGCAGCCCAGGTTATCTTGCCTGTGGTGTGGTGGTAGGGCAGTATGCCGCAGAGGTGGAAGAGCACACACTAGTCTCTTTAGGATGCAAAATGCCTAAATCTTCTCCTTCTATTCCAGATCTTCAAGTTCCTGACCAGAAGAATACCATTCTCTGGCCTTACTTATTGGGCTAAAGCCAAAACATGTTGCTTTAAAACTGTATGCTGTTTTTTGTTGCAGAAATAATACTTGAATAGAGATCCAGAAAAAAATTTAGGCTGTCAATCCATGCCTCATTGTCTCTCTTATTCCTAGTGTTAGGAAGGCTTGGCTTTTGGAAGAAATAAGGGATTTTTTACAGCCTTTCCTCACCATTTGCCATTTATTGAGATCCTCAACACTGCAAAATGCCTCACCTATTTCTGGATGTCAGTCACTGTAGAGACAACTTCAACTGCTTTTTGAATTCCACAGTTCTAAGGCTGTGGAATATGGTACTCATATCTAGGACTAGTATCTGTGTTGTGCCATGAAATACTGTGTTCCCGCTCCATGAGAGCTAGTAGCAGTATGTGCTCTTAGCACTGCACAGCAGCATGCAGTTACTGAGCTCAGAAATACCAGTGTACTTCATGCAAGCTAGTGAGTCCTCCTTCTCAGCAGTCCAGTAAGTTCAAGTGGAGCACTGTGTTGTGCTGCTTCAGTCCTGTAGGCAGTAAAAAAAATTCCAGGCAGAAATATTGCACATTTCACATGACCCCTAAAGTTTCCCATGAGGACCTGATAAAATGAATACAGATGATTTCTGTTTGTCATATATCATTTTGACCTTTGCAGGTACAGCTTTTTAAAATAAAGGTAATATATGGGTATTCCTG